TGCTAAGGTGGGCGCTATGGAAGGCGATATTTACGATCGACAAATCGCCTACGATGAATTTTTCTTCATTTATCGTCAACAGTCACTCGTCAGCTGGCAGAATAAGTGGAGTGAAGGGAGTTTAGGACGATGGCTATATTCGATCATCCCTAAGGTGTCGAAGAGTCCTTGGTTCAAGGGGTTGGATGTGGGTCGAGACTTCATTCGTCTGATGTCTCGCCTCATGTCCAATCACTATTCGTTAAACGCTCACTTGTATCGTGTTGGGCTGGGAGACAGCAATCTCTGTGAATGTGGGCAAGGTTACCAAGACGCCGATCACATCCTTTGGTCTTGTGCTGAGCATCGTGGAGTCAGATCTGAGCTGTGCGATTCCCTTCGGGCTCGAGGTAGACAACCTAATGTTCCAGTTCGGGATATTTTGGCTAGACGTGACCTGGAGTTTATGAAACTCATATATGTTTACTTTAAGAATACTAACCTTAGATTGTAAGTTTGATTAACCTTGTGTTTAGTTTGTGTATTGTGCGTGTAGTTTTTTTTTAATGTTTGTTTTCAAGATGAATAGAAATAAGTTCATGTTTTAGGATTAATTAAATATTTGTATAATAAATCATATTTCAAACCTCCTTCTCCCTTTCCCCACCCAAAAAATTGTAAATCTCCACTAACCTCGAGACGACCGCGAGTAATCGGTTCAATTCCTTTAACTCTTGATTTAAGACAATAATCATGTATAATGAAAATGATAACTCGGCTCTGTAAAGTTTATTCGATTGAGCCTGTACAAATAAATTAAAATAAAAAAAAAAAAAAAAGAAGCGCTCCGACCGAATCAATTTTTATCCTCATCCGATAGGCCGAAGTGAATTCATTGGCGTTTCAATGGCGTTTCAATACATTAGGCCGAGTTTAAAATCCGTAGGCCGAGTTTAAAATCCGTAGGCCGTGGAAGCCATCAGTAATAATAACATTCAGATTGGTGCTTAACTTCTCTAGATCAAGAAAGAGTAAGTGCGGTTGTGCTTAATAGGCCGAAAGTGGGGTAGTTAACCCTATCGAACTTTCGTTTAAAATTTGAAAAGCTTGAATACAAATTTTAAGTTTCATGTAGTTGACGAAATAACTTAGAAAAATTAGAAATGTGATCGTATTTCAGCAGGTCGTACACGTATCTGGTATCGGCATTAAATACCAAGTTTAATTTCTTTGTATTTGTCTTAGAAGTTAAGCTAAACAGAATATTCCCGTACAAAATAACGGAACGATTAAGGAAACTAAGGAGTGAAGTGCACAATACACTTTGCTGCCGAGGGGCGATCAACTTCATAAATCAGCTGAACTGTAAATACACACTTCGGAAAATACACAAAAAATACGTGAATGCGAACACGCTGAAACTAAAATACCCTAATAAAAATACTCAAAAATACCTCGAAAATACTTTGTACACGAACAATACATTTCATAATGAATTTAATACACTTTAATACAAACATACACAAAACTTAAAAATACATAAATATGGAAAAAAAAATACAAAATACACATTTTCAAGTCGAGTAGATGAATCGAAAATACTCAAGTTGATAGCCCCTCGTTGCTGCACACAGCATTGACTTAAGCATTCCAGCTTAGGTTGCAATCCTCTGCAAACCAAGATTTTTAATTATGTCAGAATACGTAATGATATCAGCACCCACTTTAACTTATGGGATATCCTGGATACCAGTTCGTTTTGATGTAAAAATAATCAGACCATTAGTTTCACACAATTTTAAGATTTTTTCTATATCTCTATTTAGTACTGATATAGTTTCAGAAATATTATTCAATTTGCCAGAGATGTATAGTTGACAGTCATCTGCTTATAAGTGAAATTTACAATTTAATGTAACATAGAAAAAAGTAGGGGTCCCAGGATGGATCCCTGAGGAACCGAGTTTCCGATGATGAATTGAAATCTTTGCTGAAATCTAAGAGCGCCATCACGGTTAACATTTTCTTATCAAGAGCATTTCCTCAATCGTCTTCAATTTTTATAAGAGCTGTAATCGTGCTGCAGCTCTTACGATAACCAGAATGTAAAGAATATTGCAGATTAGTTGTTTGGATAGAATTGATTGAAAAAATTTCGACAGAGCACAAAGTATGCTAACCAGGTAAAAATAAAATAAAAGGTCGACAATCCTTTTATGTAGCTGGATTGTCAATCTTACCAATAGGAACAATCTTAGCCACTTTCCATGAACACGTAAAGACATTTTCAATATATTTAGAGGAATGGGATCAGTACCCACATAATCACATGAAGCAGAAGCAAACTCTTCCAAAATATCGTTACTAGTAATACCTCTGAATGAAAAATTAGCAAAAAGTTCATCAGCTTGCTCCGTTTCAATAAACGAACTTTCAGAACCTATTTCTGTCACCTCTGGGGTGCCCCAGGGTTTTCATTTAGGTCCAATTATTTTTATTGTGTACGTAAACGACATTTCCTACATAGGAACTTAAAAAAATAAAAGTACTTATATATGCAGACGATATGAAGCTCTTCATGGAAATAAGTCATTCTAGCGACACAGAAGAATTCAAGAATGAAATCAACTTATTTAACACTTGGTGTAGTAAAAGTCTACTCCAACTCAATAAAAAAAATGCAACGCAATTGTATTTAGCAGAAAAATAGAAACACTTATTTTTGAAATATTTTTAGGCAACCAAACAGTAGAAAAATGTAAAATTGTAAGGAACCTAGGTGTAAGACCTAGGAACATTATAATACAATCATAACGAAAGCAAATAATATGTTGGGCTACATTAAGAGGTTCAGCTATATCAAGACCCATACACTATTAAATTATTATATATTACATACGTAAAACCTATTCTGGAATACTGTAACCTAGTATGGAATCCGTACATTGCCGTACACGAGGAAAGCATAGAATCCGTCCAAAAACAATTCCTTTTATATGCCCTTCGCAAATTGAATTGGACCGCAATTCCTTTTCCATCATATGAAGCACGCTGCATGCTCATCAATGACATTATATCACATTTTTTTTATCTAGTTCGTTTATTTTTAAGGCTCAATCGCGTTAGCTTTACGGAGCCGATAATTCATTGTTCTTTATTTGTAACAAAATTCACTTAATTCTATGTCTAGTGGGAGTGGGGCCGAATACTCGCGGCTTACTCGAGGTTAGAGAGGTACATTGTCGAAGGATAGGAAAAGGGGAGGAGCATGGGGGTAGGGTTTCGTTGTCTCATCAGAGCGATGTATTATTTCACATTGCATAGAATCATCAGAAATACTTTTACAATTAAACTTCTACACACCCTGTCGGCATCTAAGAACACGAAAATTATTCTAAATCAAACAGAACAAATTACTCAAAAAATGGCCCCTTCAATCGAATGATGCGACAGTATAATCCACACAACATATTTTTTTTAGGAATGTACAGTGCTGTTCGATATAATAGCAGCGCATGCCGATTTTCGTACAAAATTGACAACTTTGTCATGTTGTAACATTGCTCTCTTGAGATCAATTGAGCTGAAACGTTCGCCAAAGAACTACAAATATGTTCAATTTGCGATTACAAAATACAAAATTTTTAGAAGCACCTGCCGGGAAGTGAGATACTATGTAAAATTGTTCACGTTGAAGAACTAATTTGAGAATTCTGATGAAAATTCCAAAGCAATTTAAATAGATTTTAGCATGAATTCTAGAGGTATGTCAGCCAAAAAGTCATGAAATAATAATAAAATTTGACTCAGCCGTAGTTTTTAAAACTCAGAAAATATCTGTAAAATAAATACTAAATTTGTATGATTAAAATAGCGAACAATGTGTTACAACTACATATTGTTGTATGTAACTATTGAAATAATCGAATCTTCATCTGTTAAAATTTCTTTAAAAATTTCAGCATTCTGTAAAAAGTTTTAATAACAATATTGGCAATTTTCATACATAGTTCTAACCACTGATTAAAGATATAATATTAATGAGGAAAATATAAAAACTGCCTAATCAATCACAGCTAATCTAATTTTTGCCCCAATACCTACCATACGCATCAACACCTTGACACACCTTCTACATTCATAGGTCCCATAGATTGCGCAAGCGTGGACCTAATTTAAATTGCGCAGGTTTGTTTCTCTCTCGTTTTATCTTGTGAATATTAGCGTTAGCGACATAAATAGTATCCTTGATAATAAAAATTATCAATTTCAAACTTTGAAAGGTAGCACCATTTACTTTAAACTATTTTAATTTAACTTCTAGTGTTACCAATGTTTGGATGTTAGGATAATTATACCTTTCTTCCAATATCAACAAACAGTGCACAGTACCTGCAAGTGTCGTAGTACATGGTTATTCATAGGCGTGTTCTGCGTAGTCACTACACCGCAGCTCGTGTAATCTGGTTTGCGAATATCAGTACTGCGTGACTTGCAACTAGTTCGGGAACAACAACCCACTTCCCATTGAAGGTTGGATTTTACTAGTAGGTTAATATTTCGTAATTTGGCATTTCCATGACATCATCCTTTTTCCTTTCACTAGACGTTGAACTAGTTCAAATTAGCAAGTGGCATGGTAATGAACTGATTGGAACTGTACTTAATTGATAATGTAAATAACCGGTTACCACCTGTCAAACGTTATCAAAACCGTTTATATTTTCTATGGATAAAATTCAGAGTTCAGAAATGGCCTAAATACGAGGAGTTATTTAATAGGGAACTATTTATTCAACAACAAAATCAACTAATCATTGGTTTAACCCATCGGGTCACAAATGCTTAATAGCATGTGTTTTATCATTTGTTGTTGTTCCAATGCCACACGTGAAGCCTACGTTAATTAGGAGCACGACGCTTTTAACTTTGAATGTGTAATTGTTCGAGCAAACTCACTGCGCTACTTTCGTCGCTCTCCTTGTATATATGCACTAATATATGATACCACTATCACTAACCTCTCCACTCCGTTGGTGATTCTCTCGCTCGACATGATTCCTTTCAAAATTGATTCAAAACGTCACTATTTGATAGTTTTCAGCTGAAGATGTCCTGTTTTATATGGCTTCAGAGTTCTTTTAATGATACACGTGGAATTTATGACGAAACGGAAAAGTACGTCTACTCCCTGCGCGATCAGACCGGCAACTAGCATGGGCCGAGTCAGTAATCGATTCTTTTATTTTATTTTGCCTCGTTATTACAAGTTATAAGTTGCTCCCATCATGGATGGTCAGACCACTGAGAGGAGAGTAGCGACGAGTAAACGAACGAAAGCGAGGGCTATAATCATTCAGTTGTACGTATTACCGGCTCGAGCGACAGCGAACTTGTGGATGCGAAATATTGCAAAAAATAGAAATACGCTCTCCGCGAAAGCGACGGCAAGACTTGTAGCAAGAGAGTAAATGCGTAAATGGTTGTGCGCCACATTGGAATATGGATTTAAAAAAAAACTGTGAATGCCTAGTATGCCATATACTGTGTAGAAAAAAGTAACTAATTTATTTGTTTTTGATTTTAATGTACAACATTTTTTGTACTATTGTATACAGTAATGTTTCATATACACTTAAATTAAGAAAATGTTACAAACCAAAAGAGCAAGCTATCAGATTTCGGAACTGAAAAAAATATGTTATAAAAAATACACTTTGATAGATGCAAATATTGCGCTCATAATGAAAAGTACGCAGAAGCAGTGCTAGTAAATGTTGGCTGTTTTTCATTACCATCATCCGATGTGAAATTTTTGAGCGTGCGCACGGCTGCAAGTGTACAGGAACCCATTTGAACTATAGTCGCTATATTCATAGTCTGGCGGATAGAATTTCGATCTATCATAAAGCGGAACCAATTCAATATATTTTAGACCAACAATTGAAAAGGTACTATGGACTTTTATAAACAAAACGTTGATTATTCTTTCCCCGCCAATCGAACGCAAATTACCGGCATCATCGGATAGGGGAAACTTTTCCCAACCCCAAATATGGTGTCAGTTTGCGTAGGCGAGCCTTGAGTCACGAGAAAAGGGTTGCCGAAGTTTTGTTAGCAATAGCTGATGTGCTCTTTTCTGTTGTTGGTTGTGATTTGCTCGATTGGTTCCGCTATTTGACAGCTCAAATGGTTCCCGAGATTCTATCCGCCAGACTATGAATATAGCGACTATAATTTGAACGACCGCTTGTAAAAGCACAGGAGAAGATACTTTAGTCGCTATATTATAGCGACTATAATTTGAACGACCGCTTGTAAAAGCACAGGAGAAGATACTTTAGTCGCTATATTTATAGTCTGGCGGATAGAATCTCGGGAACCAATTGAGCTGTCAAATAAGCTGCAAATCACGAGCAACAACAGAAAAGAGCACATCAGTTATTGCGAACAAAACTTCGGAAACCCCTTTTCTCGTGACTCAAAACTCGTCTACGCAATTTAATACCATCTTTTGTTTATAAAAGTTGATAGTATCTTTTCAATTGTTGGTCTCTAATATATATTGAATTGGTTCTGCTTTTTGATCAATCGAAATTCATATGACAACTCGAGTGTGAAACAATCGATAGAACTGTTTCCGCACATCGAAGGTTTGTGAGCAAATCGGCGATCATCTCTTTTGCCAAAGGTGGCGGGAGGAGATACCCCTCACCATCCCTTCCAAACAGGGGAGTTTGGTAAAGGAGATGATTAACCAGATTCGTGCCTTCCTCAAAATAGACCTTTGCTGGCTTTCTACTCTTTATATACAATTTTCACACTGCCGTACTCTAACGGAACTACCAACTCTATACTTTCATCTCCTCAGTTATTGTATAAAATTACCACTTTAAGTCTGATATATGACGTTAAGCATCTCCAACTATGTAACTCGTTAACTTCACGCATAGAGTAATACAAACATGATTAGTTAAAGTAAATTTATTCATCAAATTTTCTCATCTGGAGCCCGTTGGGTATTAATTATAGGTTCTACCACAAACGAAGTGACAACAGCTATAAAATGAGAAAGGGGGTGGTCAATTCTATTATAATAATTCTAACGTGGTTTATAATTCTATGTCTCTTAGCAATATTGTTCTCATGTCTTGGTATTGTCCTTAACCATTTACGGTCTTTATTTATAATTATAAAGCTAGCTTTAAAAAATGCATCAACTTGCTTAGAACAGTAAAAAATAAATTAACGTTTGCATAAGAAAGTATAATTTTTTCCGACTAAAGATTAATTCTAAAGTTTAATTTTTCAGCTCGGTAGCTCAGTGGTTACCGATTCTGCTTTCTGAGTAGAAAATCGGGAGTCCAATCCCAGGCTTCCTTGTAATTTTTCTATCCCCACTAGATTTTAATGAATACGAATTCTGCATTAACCGATCGCATCACTTACCACAGCGAATCCTGATCTAAAAATAACCCACCTCACCAACACAACTATCCTTCCCGTGAAAGCCGTGGAGATGCAGAGGTGTGTTCGGTCTCTACACACTTAGAATTTTTTACAGAAATCTGTAAAATTTTATCGCAATCTCAACAGCTGAACGGTCGGTAAACAGTTTCGCAGATTTCCTGTAATTTTTCACAAATATCTGTGAATTTTTCACAGATATCTGTAAATAATTACAGGAAAACTGTAAAATTGTTTACCGAACGTTCAGTTGTTGAGATTTCGGTAAAATTTTACAGAAATCTGTAAAATAATCTTAGTGTGTAAAAACAACGAACGTCGATCTAATCATCCTTCCCCCCTGATAAGACCGTGAGGACGTGACCGGCACTATGATTGATCTATAAATAGATTGAATTAGTGTGCTTGTACATTGAAGATGGTAAGCTAATCCCATGCACCATCTACGTGGTTTTCTGTACAAGTACATTAGTTCTCAAGGTCTGATCAATGACGGAGAAAGAAGCAACTACAAAATGCAAGGTCTTTAGAAAAAAAAAATGCACCAAACTTTGATTTCATTTCATTTTGTAGGAGGAAAAATGCGACCGAGCAAATTTGGAGTTAGATGCATACATTTTGAAGTCCAGATCAGCAACATTTTGCAACAAGTGTAGCGGTTTATATAAAAGTACCATGCGGAAAAAATGCAGTGTTTTGACCTGACCTTGCATCCTTCCATTCGTAAATGAAATCGAGCGTTCAATTGGAAATTGAACAACACTCAGATCTACTACAATTAGGGGGTTTACGTATTTTCGCCAATCTAAGCAGCATCCGGACTTTTATCTACTGCTTGCCTATCTATCCATTCCAATCGATAGAATTTTCCAAAGCTGTTTAAAAGTGTTGCAACAAAGCTACTAACTTTTCAGTGAGTGTGACTATTGTCTGCACCCAATTTTTCTTCGGCAACCTTTCCATTCCAACTCGAAATAAGTCGCATTTTGTAGTGCGTATATTTCATTTAAAGAAAAATCTGGATTGCTCAACCGTAAAAATGAAATCAGATTGAAGCTGAAAGGAATCGTGTGAGTACATGTTTTGATGGGAAAATACAGTGAAATTAACGTTTGCATTTTGATTACCGAAAATAATCAATGGGTGCCGAAGCCGAAATGTACCCTACTTTGTGACAAGATATATCGAAAAGGCAAAGTAGGTGCTAAACACGGTCTAAACAAACTTTTTTTTCGACAACTATGGTTAAAGTCCCAGACTGGGACTCCCAGCCAGTTGTCTCAAAGTTATCAGAAATGGCTTGAACTATTTTTGTCAAGCAATAATTAGCACTATTTACAAGCGTTGTATTTAATGCAAACGTTAATATCTATTAACGGACTATTTAATCATAAGATAACTTACTAAAATTCCAGTCAACAATATTCCATTGCCAACGACAATTACACCTATTCAAAGCAGTCATGTCTCAACCTTAACATTAGATCCTCAAATTGTTTGCATAAAATTACATTGAATTAGTGTAATTTCCGCAATTAATCCAACGCACATCAACCAGGTCAAAGAAACGATGAAATAATGCATCTGTAAATATAATATAGGTAATATTACTGGTTAACAAAGCCCTTGATTAACTTCTGACCGACTTGAAAATACTAGTTAAAAAATTCTTTGCAAAGCCCCCTGTAGAGCTAGTCGTAAAAAGAATGGCCACATTACCTTGACAATATGGTCGAATCCCATAAGCAAACGTCAGTCTATGCGTGAAATATGGTGAGCATTTGCTTATTCTTTCACTCCAGTGAAAAATCCCATAAGATACTGTCAATCTTTTCGGGAAAAGACGGCGGCTCGCGGTGGAGTGAAGAGATAAGACGAAGCTAGATTTTATCTAAGAGGAAGATGAGACAATAGGGGGCTTTTTTGAACCAATTTTCTGTCAAACGCGAACCAACTGGTAAACGTATAGAAACGCAAGAATTTTTACAACAGGGAATCTATTTTCTTATAGTTTGACAGTTGACTGCGTCGCCCATAGTGAAATTGTTTTTTTTTCCGCGAGAGAAGACAAACACGTCACAGACAAAAAAGAAACCAGTTGTCTCCTCTTCTTCTTAGGATTGTATGCCCAGATTGACATATACTTATGGGATTTTACCAGGGGGACCCTATCCCTGTCAACCACATATAGATGCACCATAGCTCACATGATTTTGACATTTTTGGACAATCTGACACTTTTGGGCAACTAACGGAGGAACGACAGAACAAAACAGCTTACTCTTTCACACTATCATCGCAGTGCTGAATACTAGAAAGAGTAGTCTGTTGCAGTCATCCTCGCCCACTATATTCATCACGTTGATGATAGCTCCGCCGAAATTCGTGATTGTTGCCCCCGTGGATTTTACCATAGTAGTATCTATATTTAGTTTTGATAGATCGATGTTCAACTATAGAAATTTTCACGTCCAGTAGTATTTGTGCGATATATGAGAGCGTGTTATAGAGAATCCGAGGAAAATACATAACAAATCGCTGTCAAACTTATTTCGACAGATCTCATATCATACATTTTTTAGGTTATTCAGAGGAAAATAATAAACAACTTCCCACGGCGATGCACCCACTAGTGTGCCTGCGTTAAACGTCACTAATGTCTATACCACATTATACTAAAGCCCTACAGTAAAAGTATGGACGTCTGTCAAAAATTGTTCCA